TTCTTTTTTTTTTTGTGGTGTATTTTTCTGCCTTGTCATTTTGTCCAGATGAGTATATGAAGGAGCAATTAAAATACTAAAAGGGTGGCAAAGACCCCAGGAAAATGCGCTTTAACCAAATCAGAAGAGACCCCAAATCGTGAGGGGGGAGAAAGGGGATAAAAAGAGGTTCAGAAAAAAAAAAGAAACAATTTTTAAAAGAAAACAAATAAGGAAAAAATATAAAAAAGAAAAAAAATACATATATATATATATATTTGATAAACTAGTTTAAAAACGTTAAAAAAGAAAAGGGTAAAAGTTAAAAAAAATAGCAGAAGAAGAAAAAAAATTGAAAAAAAATAACATTAACTGCAAGACTAAAGAATTATGGGGAGAAAGCCATGAGTACCATGCTTTGCTTTCTCCTCCTCTGGAATTCCGCTGCTCTCCTTGGTATTGAACCTGCACTCCTTGGTAGGTGAACTTGGTCCTGGCTGGGTTTCTTGTTGATCGTCTGGGGGAGGGTCCTGTTGTAGTGATTCTCAAGTGTCTTTGCCCCAGGCGGAATTGCACCGCCCTTACCAGGGGCCGGGCTGAGTATTCTGCTCCGGTTTGCTTTCGGGAGCTTTTGTTCCCTGAACGCTTTCTGTAGAGTTCCGGAGGTTGGAAATGAAAATGGTGGCCTCCCAGTCTCTGGCCCAGAGGATCCGAGAGCTCAGGGCCCCACTCCTCAGTGTGCCCTCAGAGAACAGCACCCAATTACTCCCGTCTCCCTGGCCTCTGGCCGCGCTCCAAGCTCACCCAGGCTGCGACCAGTTCAAGGTAACCCCAAGCTGAGAGCTCACTCCTCGGTTCTGTCTCTGTAGCCGGCTTCCCCGTTCTAATACCTACAAGCTCTGGGACACTCAGACACCCCCGATCCTTCTGTGACCCTGTGGGACCTAAGGCCACGCTGACCCCGCGTGGGCTTGACCCCAGTTTAGCCTCTGGAGCGATGTCCCTCAGCGGAACAGACTTTTAAAAGTCCCGATTTTGTGCTCTGTTGCTCCGCCGCTTGCCAGGAGCCAGCCCCGCCCCCACGGTCTATCTTCCTGTTGCTTTGGATTCGCTTTTCTGCCAGTCCTACCTTTCAGAAAGTGGTTGATTTTCTGTTTCTAGAATTGCTGTTCTTCTTCTCTTCGATCTCCCATTGGATTTGTAGGTGTTTGCAATGTTTAGATAAGCTATCTAGCTGATCTCCTGCTAACTGATGTAGGCTCAGCCTGATACTTCTCCACCATCTTGATTCCTCCAAAGATTTTATTTATTTGAGAGGGACAGAGAGGCAGAGCATGAGATGGGGGAAGGTCAGATGGAGCAACATACTCCCCACTGAGGAGGTAGCCTAATGTAGGACTCGATCCTAGGACCATGAGATGACCTGAGCTCAAGGCAGATGCTTAAAGGACTGAGCCAGCCAGGCACCCCGACTCCCGCCAACTTTCCATCCCCAGGCATTTCTATTCAGCCTGCCAGGCGATGTAGAGGAGGCAGTGCTCAGGTTTGGGTGCCCAGACACAGGCTGGGAGACATCACCCTGCACTATTGGCCACAAGCAGCCAAGGTTTGGCAGCGTCAGAAGCCAGAGTGTGCACTTGCCTACCCTCCACTCTCTTGTCAGCTGATTGCTGTGCTGTGGAGCTTAAGGCCCCCAGAAATCCAGTCCCACACAGAAAAATGCTAATTCCAGGGCCCCTGCACAAAGAATCCCAGAGCTCAACTGTTCCTGTGTTGGAGCACTCCTTAAGTTCTCGTTACACCAGGAGTAGGACACTCCTTTGCTCAGAAAACCACAGCTGACGTCTGGAAACATAAAAGTGTTGAACGTCAGCAGCAGTGTGGGAACCTGGAAGGAGAACAGAAATGGGAAAGTGTCCACTGGTTTAGTGACTTATCCTCAGGAGGTGGAACAGTAGGGCAGTAGGGCAGCATCTAGTCAACTGTCTCTCTGTGTCCTTCCTGAGACTGAGAAGGTTCAAGTGGACGCTGGGAAGACAGAATTCTTCTAGGCGGATGTGGCCCATGGTAGTGACCCCACTGTGGGTGACCCTGACAGGACAGCAGCCCACAATGTGTTGGAAGGGGAGGGTCTAGTCCCAGCTGCAAACATCTATCTCGTTGGCAGAAAAATCTAATATCTCATGAGTATTTATTTAATTTTTTTGATTTTTTTATTAACATAATGTATTTTAGCCCCAGGGGTACAGGTCTGTGAATCCCCAGGTTTACACACCTCACAGTACTCACTGTAGCACACAACCTCCCCAATGTCCATAACCTCACCTCCGTCTCCCTAACCCCCTCTCCTCTGGCAACACTCAGTTTGTTTTGTGAGATTAAGAGTCTCTTTATGGTTTACCTCCCTCCTGATCCCATCTTGTTTCATTTATTCTTTTCCTACCCCCAAACCACCTACCTTGCCTCTCAACTTCCTCAAATCAGGAAGATTATATGATAATTGTCTTTCTCTCATCGACTTCTTTCATTAAGCATAACCCCTCTAGTTTCATCCCATCACTGCAAATGGCAAGATTTCATTTCCTTTGATGGCTGCATAGTATTTCATTTTATATATATACACCACATCTTCTTTATTCATTCATCTGTTGACGGACATCTAGGTTCTTTCCATAGTTTGGCTCTTATGGACACTGCTGCTGTAAACATTCAGGTGCACGTGCCCCTTCGGATCACTACATTTGTATCTTTAGGGTAAATACCCAGGAGTCCAATTGCTGGGTTGTAGGGCAGCTCTATTTTCAACTTTTTGAGGAACCTCCATGCTGTTTTCCAGTTTGGTTGTACCAGCTTGCATTCCCACCAACAGTGTAGGCAGGTTCCCCTTTCTCCCCATCCTCCCCTGCATCTGTTATTTCCTGACTTCTTAGTTTGAGCCATTCTGACTGGTGTGAGGTGGTATCTCATTGTGGTTTTGATTTGTATTTCCCTGACGCCGAGTGATGTGGAGCACTTTTTCATGAGTCTGTTGGCCATCTGGATGTCTTCTTTGTGGAAATGGCTTTTCATGTCCTTTTCCCATTTCTTGATTCAATTACCTGTTCTTTGGGTGTTGAGTTTGCTAAGCTCTTTATAGATTTTGGATACTAGCCCTTTATCTGATATGTTGTTTGCAAATATCTTCTCCCATTCTGTCAGTTGTCTTTTGGTTTTGTGAACTGTTTCCTTTGCTGTGCCGAAGCTTTTGATCTTGATGAAGTCCCAACAGTTCATTTTTGCCCTTGCTTCCCTTTCCTTTGGTGATGTTTCTAGGAAGTAGTTGCTGTGGCTAAGGTCAAAGAGGTTGCTGCCTGTGTTCTCCTCAAAGATTTTGATGGATTCCTTTCTCGCATTGAGGTCCTTCATCCATTTTGGTCTATTTTCGTGTGTGGTGCAAGGAAATGGTCCAGTTTCATTCTGCTGCTTTGGGATTGGGTGTTCTGAATATATCTGTTATATCCCTCTGGTCCAGTGTGTCACTCAAGGCCTTTATTTCCTTGTTGATCTTTTGCTTGGATGATCTGTCCATTTCAGTGAGGGGAATGTTAAGTCCCCTACTATTATTGTATTCTTGTTGCTGTGTTTCTTTGATTTTGTTATTAACTGATTTATATAATTGGCTGCTCCCATGTTAAGGGCATAGATACTTACAGTTGTTAGATCTTCTTGTTGGACAGACCCTTTGAGTATGATATAGTGTCCTTCCTCATCTCTTATTACAGTCTTTGTCTTGAAATCTAATTGATCTGATATAAGGACTGCCACCCCACCTTTCTTTTGATGTCCATTAGCATGGTAAATTGTTTTCCACCCCCTCACTTTAAATCTCACTTCTAAAGTCTTTGGGTCTCAAATGAGTTTCTTGTAGACAGCATATTGATGGGTTGTGGTTTTTTATCCATTCTGATACCTTGTGTCTTTTGCTTGGAGCATTTAGCCCATTTACAGGATAACTATTGAGAGATATGAATTTAGTGCCACTGTATTTATTGCCTGTAAAGTGACTCTTACTGTAGATTGTCTCTTTTCCTTTCTGATCTACTACTTTTGGGCTCTCTCTTTGCTTAGAGGACCCCTTTCAATATTTCCTGTAGATCTGGTTTCGTGTTTACAAATTGTTTTCGTTTTTGTTTGTCCTGGAAGCTTTTTATATCTCCCCCTATTTTCAATGATAGCCTAGCTGAATATAGTATTCTTGGCTGCATGTTATTCTAATTGAGTGCTCTGAATATATCACACCAGTTCTTTCTGGCCTGCCAGGTCTCTGTAGATAACTCTGTTGCCAATCTAATATTTTTACAATTGTATGTTACAGACTTCTGGTCCCTTGCTGCTTTCAGGATTTTCTCTTTATCACTAAGACTTATAAATTTTACTATTAGCTGATGGGGTGTGGACCTATTCTTATTGATTTTGAGGGAAGTTCTCTGTGCCTCCTGGATTTCGATTCTTGTTCCCTTTGCCATATTAGGGAAATTCTCTACAGTAATTCTCTGCAATATATCTTCTGCTCCCCTCTTTCTTTCTTCTCCTTCTGGAGTCCCAATTATTCTAATGTTGTTTTGTCTTATGGTATCACTTATCTCTCGAATTCTCCCCTCGTGGTCCAGTTGTTGTTTGTCTCTCTTTTGCTCAGCTTCTTTATTCTCTGTCATTTGGTCTTCTATATCACTAATTCTCTCTTCTGCCTCATTTATCCTACCAGTAAGAACCTCTATTTTTTTTCAAACATATCTATATTTTTATATTGGGGGGAGGGAGTAGAAAAAAAACTCCTATACTGGGCCCTACACAGTGGCAGCTTCTTGTTTCATAGGGTTAAGGAAGACTTTGAGGAAATAAAAGTTGTTTGAAAAAATCCAGGTGTAGTTGCTTTGTATGTTGTGATGGGTAGAAGGGTGAAGTGAAGTTGAAGGCCCCTCATACCCTCCATCTTGCCTCAGACTATGTCCTGGAACCCTGGGGTGGAGAAAGTGCCACTTTCATTCCTGCTTCTTGGGATTGTTGATGGCCACATAGTGATAGAGAACGAAAAGCAGGAAGAGTGACAAGCCCAGCATTTTGGTGAAGATGGCGAGCTGCACATCTGTGATCATCCTAATCAGCTACGCTCCCCGTGATGCAGTCTGCATACTAGCTGGAGGTCAAGAACCTCTATTTTTTATTGTACCTCATTAATAGCTTTTTTTATTTCAACTTGGTTAGATTTTAGTTCTTTTATTTCTCCAGAAAGGGCTTTTATTTTTCCAGACAGGGTTTCTCTAATATCTTCCATGCCTTTTTTGAGCCCAGTTGGCACCTTGACAATCGTCATTCTGAACTCTAGATCTGACATATTACCAATGTCTGTATTGATTAGGTCCCTAGGCTTTGGTACTGACTCTTGTTCTTGTTTTTGTTTTTGTTTTCAGTGAATTTTCCACCTTGTACTTTTATCCAGATAAGAATATATGAAGGAGCGAATAAAATACTAAAAGGGTGGCAAGGACCCCAGGAAAATGTGCTCTAACCAAATCAGAAGAGACCCCAAAACATGGGGGGAAGAAATTGGCTAAAAAGTGTTCAGAGAAAAAAATTAAAAAAAAAAAAAAAATATATATATATATATATATATATATATATATTAGATTGGTGACTAGAACAGAGTCACCCACTTAATTTTGGGAATATTTTAGTCTCTTAAAAGAAACTATTTCCCAAAATTTTAAAGAATGAAAAAAACACACACACACGCACACAATAAGGGTAAACATGATGAAGTGATGGAATATGACTATAAAGATGAAAGTTTTTAAAAAAAATTTCTAAAAAAGGAGTTGATAGGATAAGTGGAGAGAATTTGCTCAGGCTGGAGACTAGAACAAAGACCTGTGCTAGATTTAGGTTTTATTTTGAGCTATTAGAAGAAGTTTTATCCCAAAACTTTTAAAAAGAAAAAACCCTATGTGTATACAAACAATAAAGGTAGATACAATGAAGGATAAAATATAAGTATAATGATCAAGTTTCAAAAAAGATTTTTAAATTTAAGGTATTGTTAAGATAAACTGGTTTAAAAAGTTAAAAGAGGAAAGAGTAAAGGTTATAAAAATTTTAGCTTAAGAAAAAAAAATTTTAAAAACTTAATTAACTTAACAAGACTAAAGAATCATGGGGAGAAAGCCATAAATTCCATGCAAAGCATAGAATTCCTCCTCCTCTGGAATTCTGCTGTTCTCCTTGGTAAGTGAACTTGGTCTTGGCTGAATTTCTTGCTGATCTTCTGGGGAAGGGGCCTGTTGTAGTGATTCTCAAGTGTCTTTGCCTGAGGCGGAATTGTACGGCCCTTACCAGGAGCCGGGCTAAGTAATCCGCTGGGGTTGCCCTTCGGAGCTTTTGTTCCCTGAACGCTTTCCATAGAGTTCTGGAGGATGGCATGAAAATGGTGACTTCCCAATCTCTGGCCTGGAGGATCTGAGAGTTCGGAGCACTACTCCTCAGTGCACCCTTGGAGAAAAGTGCTCAATCATTCGCATCTCTCTGGCCTCTAGCCACGCTTTGATCTCCCCCAGCCTGTGACCAAGTGTCTCTGGCACACAGCCCTGCCTGGAGTCTCCAAACCCAGTATATCCCTGCACTCTTCTGGGAGGGTCTCCCAGGATCTTGTGGGGTCCCTGCTCACAGAGCAGGGGCCTGCCTATGCCATGGATCACAGCTTAAGGTAACTCCGAGTTCAGAGCTCATTCCTCAGCTCAGTCTCTGTAACCAGCTTCCTGGCTCTAATACCTGGGAGCTCTGTGACACTCAAACACCCCCGACCCTTCTGTGACCCTGCAGGACGTGAGACCATGCTGTCCCCCTGTGGGCTTCACCCCGGCTTATCCTCTGGAGCAATGTCCCTCAGTGGAACAGACTTTTAAAAGTTCTGATTTTGTGCTCCATTGCTCCCATGCTTGCGGGGAGCCAGACCATCCTCCCGAGGTCTATCTTCCCATCGCATTGGATTCACTTCTCCGCAGGTCCCACCTTTCAGAAAGTGGTCGATTTTCTGTTTCTAGATTTGCTGCTCTTCTTTGCTTTGATCTTCTGTTAGAACGTATGTGTTGGGAATGGTTTGATAAATTACCTAGCTGATCTCCTGCTACCTGATGTCATCTCAGCCTGTTTCTTCTCTGCCATCTTGACTCCTCCCCACTCTCATGAGTATTGAAAAGGGATCCTGACAACTTGTCTCTGGAACTTCAAGTCCATCATGCAGTTGACTCCTCCCATACCCCCTGTTGCCATACACAACCACAATCAACAAGACTTTGGCATCTATAGTGCAATCTAGAATCCTTGATCCCTCACCCTCTCCACCTGACTGAATTCATGCCATGGCCTCTCCTGGTTCTTGAATCCTCTGTCCATTTCTATTCCTCACATCTTTTAACAGCTGCTTCCAGACCAGCCATTATCTCACAACTCCTTTGTGTTCCACCTTGGATATTGGTTCATCTGAATAATTCTCCCTCTGGGTTTCTGTTTCTCTCCAAACACCTTCATAAATAAACGGAATCCAAATGGGGTTTCTGAGAAGACAGAGGTAATGGTTTCAAGGATCTCAGAAGGGTTAGACTGCAATCAGCTTTAGTGTTATCATCTTAAAAGATCCTCATCATTATTCTAATCCAGGTGCAGAGCAGAATCATGCAGTATCTTTCAGTTTCCCTTGTTTCAAACTGCATTTCTCAGGCAATCTTTTCCGGGCCTGAGTGGACTTATCAGATAGGCAGAGCTCTCAGGCAGGGCGAGGATCCTGTCTCCTTCCAGAGAGAGTGAGCAGCTGAGTCCTGCTTGCCAGTCTCCTGTGAGCTGGTTGGTGTGACTCCTCTCATCTCTCCTTAGAGTTGAGCACATGTGGATTGAAAGAAAGGAAAATGAGGTGGCTCATCTTGTAAACTGAGAGCCTCATGGGGACCCAAGAGTTGGTCTTCTGGGATCGTCTGGCTGAGCCAGCCATACTCCTAACTTGCAATAACTCAGTACAGCCTTCGTTTCCCCCATCTGCTGGAGCTGCTCATCTCCAATGTTGCTGCATGAAATCTGTCTGTCATACACTCTGTCATTTTCTCAGCAGACAGGCCACTCTTACACTTTCGTGACGTTCAGACATAACAGTTGTCTCCCCCCGACACACACAGCTGCTGACATGTTTTGCTTTCGAGGAAAGCTGACATGAGAAACAGAAAAAACTGATGTCTTAAAAATGAAGAGAAAACGGGCAGCCCCTTGGTCTTTCTCTTCCTTCCATCTGTGTGATCCTCACAATGAGGTAGAACATGATCAGAACCTGCAAGTCAGAGTATGTCCTGTAAAGCAAGTGGAAATATTAAGTAATTCAAATTCTCTTTGTTGTTGTTACTTAAGGAGAAAATGCAACACCATGAATAAGCAAAGGCAACAAGGAAGTTTGTCCCTGACACCATCGCCTGGGACTCACCCCCCTGCATTCTGAGCACCAGACAGATGGCCAGATGAAGCTGCCTACTGGAAACACACAGTCTGAATGAGCTAGTGAAAGTCATTAGTTGCTGTGCTGGAAGTTTCTCCTGAGAGACCCAGTCAGTGAATCCCTTGTGCTCAGCTCAGAAATTTTGGACGTACAAGTGTTGTCAAGTTTCAGAAAAAATTGAACCATGGGGGATCCTGGGTGGCTCAGTTGGTTGAGGATATGATTCTTAATCTAACTTCAGATCTTGATGTCATACTGTAAGTTCAACCCCACGTTGGGCTTACTTTTTAAAAAATGTGGGTGGAGTTTACTTTAAAACAATGAAAAAAAAAGAAAATTAGGAGCTGTGATGGCACAATAAATGTATTCCCTTATGGAAGGTGAAAGGATTATAATCGGTCTTTTTTCTACTTGGAGAAAACAAACGTTCACCCTCAGCATCTGGGGGCTGTTGACATGTTTGATACCTGGTCAGGAGACGAGGAGGTCAGCACTGAGAGGGTCCCAGACACAAACACTCCAGGGGGAAAGGCAAGGGCAAGGCTCTAGGGGCATTAAGTGCTTTGCTAACAAGGAAACCAGCCCCTGCACAGTAGGGGAATCTAGAGTACTCAGGACATGGCCAGACTGTCCTCAGGAGTGAGCCCAGGAGAGCCCAGGTGGAGGACACTCAGTCACTGCAGAGGAAAGAGGTTAGTAGAAGTGATAACTACCTTGTCAGTGGGTGCTGCTGGGAAAATCCCGCCATCTGGAATTAGAACCTTGACACCTCCTCCTCCCAGACAAGAACAGGCTTCCCCCTTGGGGCACTTGTAATGCCTTGGAGCGCTCTAACAAAACTGTGTTATTTACCGTTGTTCACTGGTTTTAGTGGATATTACATAAGAAAAAAATGGCACAGAATTCTTGGAGGACACAAACTGTCCTCAAGGTCAGTGTGACAAATCTAGGAATAACAGGAATCCTTAAGATTGGAGGAGTTTCCCTCCATCATTTCCTGGGTCTCAGAGTCTTACCTGGACAGGTGATCTTTCTTACTGGTGAGCTGCAGTGGTGTCTTGTGGGTATTGGTGATGTTAGAGGCTTGCTGTGATGCAGGCTTTGGAAATGAAAACACAAATACATTAAATTTTATGATTTAGCTCTACAAAACTCATTCAACACCTCAGTAGTTATCTAGTGTTAAACAGAAAAAACATTTTGACAATACCTTCCAGAGTACGTAGTAACAGGAGAAGTTAAAGATGATGTTGTCATGGTGCCTGGGTGGCTCAGTCAGTTGGGCAGCTGCTTTCAGCTCAGGTCATGATCCCAGGGTGCTGGGATAGAGCGTCGCATCAGGCTCCCTGCTCATTGGGAGCCTGCTTCTCCCTCATTGTCTGCCTGGTGCTCTACTTGTACTCTCTCTGTATCTACTTCTCTCTCAAATAAATAAAAATCTTAAAAAAATGATTTTGTCATATGAGGTAACATTCAAATTCCATACACTGAAAACCCATGTTAAGTAAATAATACCACTTTTCAGTTGCATTTAGCAAACTGGATTGATTTGAAATGTTCAGGTACACTGTAATCATTATGTCCTCTTAGAAATACTTAATTTGCATATGTACTCCATATACT